TAACTTCAAGCTTCTACTTAACGCGTACCTCACATCTCTCTGACCCCACCTAGGCCTGGCGCAGTAAAGCAGCCAAACCTAATGGGATAGTTGTGGCGTTGACAAGTGCAACAGAACCATGTAGAAATGAAATCTTTTCTCACACCAATTTCCAGCTTATCAGAGGCTTTGGACTGATAACTCAAGGCGATTTAAATACCACGTCGAGAAAAATTGACATTTAAACTACTGTATTGGAAGGGAAGCACTTATAATCGGTGGGCATGCTATAGCCTAGCAAACACGTTTCAGGCGGATAGCCGGTATCCACGTACCGCGGCACCGACGCTCCGATATACAATTTCCACGTTTCTGATGCAAGGAAATTTTACCATTTCCGTCACTCTGCACATTTTTCCATCCATAAAAGGCCAGCCCACGTATCTGCCATTGTGCACCATTGCGTATGTCTGGATGCATTAGTTGCTGGATAAATCGTGGCATAAGTTGAGAGCTGTTATTTCAGGACTTGCATGGTATAGAGTTTCAGAAGTTTTAGGTTCTCCAGCCCTGAAGTAGCCCTTTCGACGAAAAGCTTATTTAATGGGTTTATGCTTGCCATACACTGGCCTTACCATGGGTTATGCGTCAGGCGCACAACATCCTCATCCTAGTAACGCTATCGCCGCTTCTCTGTCGCCGCACCTTCACTGGACGTAAGCCAACGTCTATCGCAAATAAACTTCATAGAAGGCTGTTCTACTTCTCCCTACTCGTGAACGTGTCGGGTTACCAACAGCCAGACGTACAGACGTGTCCACCCAGGTTAAAGTCTATGATGAGCATGATAGCGACGGAGGCTGACGTATCAGTAGGTCCAAATGTTGTCACTGACGGTGCTTTCAGACTCCATAGAAGTCGTCTAGGAAATTGCTCTGGGAGTGGCAGCGAAAGGCGGCCGTACCAGCTCACTGCTGTAATGTAAGACAAAGTAAAGGTGTGGTCGCAGTATAACACTTAGCATGGTCCATAATTCAACGTACGCTGAGCTCCATTCAGGGGGCCTCAGAGCATACTTCATCCCAATCGTCACAAAAAAACGAGCTCGTGATGTCTGCCTAACCGCATTGATTGGGGCCAAGTCATTCAGCCCATTTTAAATCATCCAAATCAGAATTGCTAGTATGGCATGCAAATTTTAAAACACATTTTTTTGTTTTTAATGGTGAACTTGAGTGCTATATCCAAAGGAGGTGAATATAGCTAAATATTTCCTTCGCCGAGTCCTTTTTCGAGTCAAGCCTAACGAAAATAAGCTCGTGCTCCTTAGTTGGCGTGAAACGGATGTGCCATCTGGTGCTTGCTATACACGGTCTCCAACTTCAGATCTAAGAGACTGCAGTTTGAAAATCCTCCAAAGGACGACTGAGTTATCACGTAATTTGGTGTCTTTCAACACCGCGACTTTTTACGCACTGTGGTCACTTCAACGCGACAAGTTTGTTTCATTGAAGAGTGCATAGATTTACCGCTAGAAAGAATCTCTCAGAATCGAACGCATTCTCTCATGTATCAGTGACTATTCTGAACCTTTCAGCCAACTGGTGCTGGAAGTAGGCACAGGAGGCGGCGTGGCGTGTGTTGCACACACACTCATACTTATGGCAATTAACCCACCATTGTCAACACTGACCAGTTGCATTCTAGAGTTGATACATGAATAAGGAGTAGCTTTAACGTGCTCACATATGACTGAAAAGGTGCATGCGGTGACCACGCAGGCCAGAGCACAAAGTACTGCTTCTCTCATCGCGCCGCGATAAATTAAATGGTCGACCAGGCTCATATGTGTTTGGAGCGTGCGATCACAATGCGTCAATTTGGCATAGTTGCTATTGATGACTGTGACACGCAGCCCTGTCAGCCCCTGCACCCACCTCACATCAGACAGCTGACTGGCTCGGACGGTGGGGGAGAGCATAAACTCGAAGGCTTAGCGCATTTTCTTCATTATAAACAATCTGCCGCGCCTGAAGCTATCACGATGCACTAAAAGTCCTGGTTTGGAATCCTGCCAACTGACAGGAAATTCGGAAGGCGCGGTCAGCCCAGTGTGTATTGCATTATGTGGAGTGGCTGACTGGGGGACTGAGAGCCGCCCTGCACTTTACTGTGATTTTATGATTGTGTGGGCCTGCGACCTCTTCTGCCTCCGGTCCTCTTGACTTTGTTTTGACACCAGGCATAGGTGGAGGAGTGGGGAGAGAGTGAGTTATCTGCATCACAAGTTTACTTTCACTATAATCCGGCGCAAGTCATCGTCCCTGCACCACGCCGTTTTGGAACACAGGGTAGACATCGTCAAAACCGACAGTCGTACTGTCTATGGATATGCTTTGAGTTTTGATGGCATCTTCGCTGCGGTGGGTACGAACATGTTCGACCAGCGAAAACCTGGACTGTAACACAGCGAATGGGTCAGGAATGCTCTGTTTGCCCGCTTTAGTTAGGGTGCTCTCTGATCAGTCGTCAGCAGAAATGGTACCGTATTGCCTGATCTTGAAGGTCTTTGCGATGGCTTGCATAAAACACACGTTAAATAGTTTCCTGTCTGTTTTGTAGTTTTTATGAATACCTCATCCGTCATCTCGGCGAACACGCATAACCATTGCACAGAGCACGAGACTAAGTAGAGTAATGTTGAGAAAGTGGCCTTTCCTCACCGCGTTTATCACTGTTAAGGTGTCCGATGCGTATCGATCTTTCGTCACACGT